TTAAAATCAGTTAATTATCATGCAAATTAGGTATTTAATATTCATAGATTTTTACCAAAAACAAATCAAATCTGCGCATTAGTTCAGAGCATCCATGTGCCAAGTTTCATCAAAATCCAATGAGTGGTTCTTCATATATCAGTGGAACAGTCATGGAACAGCTAAAAATCAGCTAATTATCATGCAAATTAGGTATTTAATATTCATAGATTTTTACCAAAAACAAATCAAATCTGCGCATTAGTTCAGAGCATCCATGTGCCAAGTTTCATCAAAATCCAATGAGTGGTTCTTCATATATCAGTGGAACAGTCATGGAACAGCTAAAAATCAGCTAATTATCATGCAAATTAGGTAATTAATATTCATAGATTTTTACCAAAACCTAATCAACTCTGCGCATTATCCCAGAGCATCTATGTACCAAGTTTCACCAAAATCTGATTAGTGGTTCTTGAGATAACGGTGGAACAAAAAAAGTGACATACATACATACATACATACAGACATACAGACAGGGTAACTGCAAAGACTCCCTTTTGTGCTTTGCACACGGGAGTCAAAAACAAATGTATATGTCAAACCAGTAAAAGAGCATCTTGCATGAAAAAGCAACATTGAGGTTCACTTGCCAAATAATTTTTTCAGTTGAGATTGGCTGCTGTTCAGAGTACAAAGGACATAAAATTAAAAATTTGCTAGTAGGTGGAAGGAGAACTATATGGCAAAGAGACTGGATGTTATAGTAAAGTGATAACGATAACACCCACGTTCTGGAGTAGTCTATAACGTAGTATCATGGAAATGTATTTATATATGTACGTGTAGGTAAAAAATGTTTTACAGTGGGCTAGCTATCTCGTTACCAATCTCTGTTGGAACATTGCAATATACCTAGCAAAGTTGCCCGTGGTGTTTGTTGTGACATGTTGATGCTTCTGGACACAACAATTTTCACAAGGGGTACCGGTATTTGGTGTAAAAACAACAAATGAATGAGAAAATCATATTCAATATCTTTTTGTTTTAATTTATTTATTTTGCCCATGTAACACGCAAAATCATGATGAGAAGGAAAATGTAGAACCATCTCCATCAAACATATTGGAATTTTCAATATGCAAATAAGTTTTTACTTTTCAACCATTGAGGGAAAAGTCAAAACAAACACCACTTGCAACTTTGCTAAGGATATTGCAATGTTTCAAGAGACATTGATAGGAAGATAGCAGTTTTCATAATCAGTGTTCAACCATACTAAATACAAAACTTCTACAGTTTCACGTAGCAAGTCAAGCTGATATACTTCTACTCACTGGACAGATTCATCCACTGTGTTCACTGCACTAATGGTAATAGAATTTTGTTCCCAAGAGAACTTTGTGCCATCTGGTGGCTCAAGTTTCATTTCCATAGTAACCAGTGTCTCATATGAAATTGAATCTTTTCTCTGCTGATTTCCTTTCTTTTGCAACATCAAGGGGACAGTTCAAATATATTTCACAGAAACCAATACCATCTAGAATTAAAAAAATACCATTATCAAGCGTAAAATACAAGTACCATATATTTATGATATGACTAACACATGCACCTTAAAAATGATAGGACAATAAATATGCCAACAAAAATCTGAGACGTTGTGTTAAAAATGCTGACAATCCCAGCAAAACCAAGTATGCTTTTCAAAACGAGATTGTCTCACTTTTTTTTTTGTTTTATTTTTTTATCTAGCATATCATTTTTAATACTTCTGACACTAAAATCAATCTGAGAAACTGAGCTGAATACAAACAACAATGACTCACGATTCCTTGCCATCTGGTAATATTCATAGCGCATACTTCGATAAAACATATTATCATCTATGATATAAAGGTGAGTATTATTCCTGCAAGCAATCTCCTTTCTCACGTCCATGGTCCTGTGTAGTTTTTCCAAAAAGTTTTGTTTCAATTCTTCATTAAAACTGTCTGGACAGCAAGAATTTTGCCCCTGACAAAACCTGTCTGGTTTGGAATCATTCTGATGTATCAACTCATCCACACATTTATATAAGGATGATCGATAGGTTTTCCATGACAGTTCTGCCTGAAAAGAACATTAAAGCAATGGTATACAGGTGAGCACATCATATACCGCATAAGGCACTGGTACAACATGCTTAAAGAGCATGCATGGATGTTTACCATTCATACAACATACATGAACCCATGCTGTCCAAGTTAGTACATCAGAAAGTTGCTGTATTTGTAGCAAATTCGTCTAGAGTAATGTACAAGATTGAAAATACCAGTAACTCCATGGTGTTACAATGTTTCAGCTGTTTTTGTTCTGAAAAGTGTTTTTTGGGGGGGCAACATTTGCTCTCGCCATTTTTTTTAGCCATGACATTTTTATTGTTTGAGATGCTGCCATATTTTGTTTTATTATTTCGACAATTATTTTAGTATTTGTTTCTTCTCTAAAATTGTCCTTGCCACTTTTTTCAGAAGGTATTTTTTAATCACTTCAAGAAGAAGGGAGTTGTATTGTTAATCTGAAATTCACTACAAATGTACTGTTCACAATATGTATATGTAGCTGAGATCTGATACACAATGATAAGCATACTGAGAAGATTTCTCTCTAATGCACAATTTATTGCTCGTCAAATGTAAACACATGAAACAGAACTTACTAAAAGGGTTTGAAATGTTAAAAAAAATCAAAACCAGACAGCTCTTTTGGTGACTGCTTTAATGTACCGCAGATTCTTGGGAGGAATGGTGGGTGTAGGCATTTTTTTACAGGTATATATAGATATGTTTCCACAAGAGGGAGCTATGGGATTTGTTTTCTTTATTTTTTTTGGAAAGGTATTTTATATTTAAAACCCAATTTCTCATCAAGTCCTGATTTAATGATAATACATGTAACATGGACATTTTTTGAGTAATCAAGACAGAGATTTCATACTAATACTAGTCCAAGTACAAGTAAATGTATTTTACACAGATCACATGCAAACTTTTTGCATAATTGAGCTTACAAAGAAACAGTGACGACAACCAACGACCAACATTTTGCAAATTATACCTTGCTCTGAAAGGCAAAAAGGTATCAGGTATCTAGATTTGCTAAATATGATACGCTTGTATATCACTCAACATAAATTGTCTTTTTCTGTGGAAATTCTTTCGTATCGAGGTGAGAGAGTTGGTTTACAACAGAACAGTTTCAAATATCCTTCATTTTGAATCCCCAGAGTTTAACAGTTTTGATCTAGGAAATGTCCATCAAAATATACGTACTGTTCAGCAATACATTAGTTTTTCAATATTTGTTATTTAATTTTTCATGATTTCAACTTATTTTTCTTGCTTGAATTCTAATTCAATTTTCTTTGAGACCTCATTGCTGTACATACCAGGATAAGTGTTCTATCAGTTAATACTGTATCATACATCAAACGTAATATTAGTAGATACGGCTGTACATCCGTACAGTCTGTGTACCCATCATATCCTAAAGCCACTATATCAATAACATAAAAGATATACTGAAGACATTCTTAACAGTAACTTACAGGCTTGTTTTTATCATTTACTGTTGATGAATTGTAAGTAAGATCGAGATTGTTTGGAATGAAATCATCGTAACACACATGTATAACACTGGACGATGCGATGAACGGTGGATGTCCGTGACACAGCACAGACGCCAGAGCCGTTTTTCCAGAACCAGGTAAGCCGCATAAAACAACCAAGCACTGGACACATGCCGCTGTAGGTGAACTTGTTACATGTTCCAACGAACTCCCATCTGTCATTTTATCTTTACAAGCCCCCAAGTCATATAAATGTCTATTTCATCTATAACTTTTCAGGTATATGGAGGTCGCCATTATTGTTTTTGCTAGGGATTGTGGGTGTTTTTCTCATCCTCGAACTCGGTGTAAAACAAGTTCGTGTTTCATTCAATAACCTAATATTACAGAAAAGACACATTTTCTCATAGTTCTGATATAATAACTATTAAATTTTAAATAATTAAAATGTTGGTAAAACTATCACCAAACATTTATTGTTATATTGGCCTTGGGAATTAACGTCTACAATGAGCCTGTCAAGGTCACAGGGCTCTACCACGCCGAAAGTTGACTTAGTTGGTTGGCGGGCGTTTATTTTATTACCGTTTTAAAGTTTGCTATTTTAGAGTCGTTTCCTTGCAATAACATTCAATAACAATGTAGTTGTTGTTCAATGCCAGAACAACTGACATAAATAGGCATTATTAACGTACATCTCATACCAGCATAGTCTTCACACCCCTGTATTTTTTGGAATGGTCCAGTGTGACGACATTCCGGTTTTATCACATGTCCGGTCTCTACTGAAATCGTTGGTGTCTATCGTCAAAAATCCCGTTGTTTACTGGTGTTTAAAATTGTATTTTACCAATATTCTTTACTTGGCTTTTTGTTCGTGATCATCCACAAGTACTGAAGTAAAAGTGTACAAATACAGTAGGTCTAGACTGGTTGTTAACGCGCCAACTTCACTTTTTGAGCGCATCTCATTGTGAAAAGGACTGAACACGTTTCGGTCCTCGTGTGAACATTAGATTGCATTTTCTAAAAGAAGACTCTTATATCGTCGTGCCTGAAGAAATACGGATATGAGTGCTTCGTTTGGCGGAGGCGGCGACGAAACTGCCGCTGACAGAAATGTCGAAATTTGGAAGATAAAGAAACTGATAAAAAGCTTGGAGGCAGCGAGAGGGTAAGTACAATATGTTGGCGTACTGAAACCCCACATCATGTGCGTGTGTGCGTGGCGCTGATATTGATAAGATATGGGTTTATCTACCGTATTTCGTAACAACATTTTTGTGACCGATACGACAGTTATTATTTAAAACATGACAGTAACTTCAAATGAAGAAGATACCTCCGTGCGACTCTTCATGAAATTGTCAGTCGACTGAGTTTTTCACGGAAGTAGTCATTCGTGGCATTTTATTCGCATTAACAACATCTGTACACGTATGAATGGAAGAAGACTGTTTTGATTTTTTGTGATAATAATGCCCCAATTGAAATTATTGACAACTTGCATGTCCCATAATTACCCTTTTTCACATTGAGTGTTCGAAATAATCGCGAAGTGAGTGAAGCTAAACATTAAACTAAAAATAGCAATAATTAAATTCTGTCATAATTTGTTATGACATCACTTAAATTAAATTAGTAAGATAGTTCATTAACTATTCATCTCATAAGTACATCAGAGTGCACATCTAGTAATTAAATAATATGTACAGACATAATATTTATGGGCATTTCCACTTTTAATGCATTGTCCTTTTGTTGTAACTCTATACACCTGTTTTGTAAATATACCAGGTACAGATACAAACCGTCATGTACTAAAATAACTTGGATTTTTACCAAGTGTTGTGAAAGACCTTGCTGTGCCTACTAACTTCATAATAAATGTATTATAACCTCTATGGTGATTTATAATCTTTGACAGTTAGTTTTTGTTTTCCTCTGCTGTAATCTGAATATAGATGTTATAGGTATATCTATGGGGTAATAAACGTTGTTTACCTTTGTTTAGCTGTGTGTTGAGGTGGGGGCGGGGGTGGATTTACCTTTGTTGGTATATAGACCCTGACCTGCAACCCTGTAATGCTTTAATTCTTAGTTTTATGTTTACCATTGACATGAAGTTTTATTGTTGTAATATGGGTCACTGTTTCAAGGCGACACACACTGAACCTTGAATAGTGTGGTAACAGGGCACTTTAACTAAAATCGAACAACCATTTTTAATCATTAACTCTCTCCTTCAACAACAAAATAAAAGACGACGCACTTTCCATTTATTGCATACTTAAAGGGCAAGGATGGGTTTTACCAAATAAGTTTTTGTGAGTTATTATACATTATTTTCACCTTTTTTATAGAAACGGAACAAGCATGATATCACTGATTATTCCACCAAAAGATCAGATCTCGAGAGTATCAAAAATGTTAGCTGATGAATTTGGCACTGCTTCAAACATTAAAAGTCGTGTCAATAGGTGAGTTGTAGAATGGTCATTGCTTCTTTACATCTGAAGTAACTACAAATTGGATGAGATTGATTCGATAGCAGTTTTCTCACTGACATTAAGGGCATACAGATTAGATGCATTGATGTGGGAATCAGTATTGACTTGTTTCTTCAATCAGTGGCCAAGTCCAGACTATTGTAATGCAAATAAACATAATGAATGCCAGTGTTCTCCCCAGGAATTTAAACCACTGTGGCGGCCTAATTTGCATATCATTTATATATAAAAGAAATTGACCAAAGCACATTTACACCCACACAATAAACAACATATAATTTTAAAAACAAAGTGGCAGATATTTATTTGCTTCACACAGTGTTATAAACACTTTTATTTTGGGCACTTTTGTAATATTAACGAGCTCTGTCACAGGAAAAATATTACGTTTCACAATTTAGAAGAGTTTGAATTTAAAAATGAAACATTCTCGAAATGCAAATGCTGCAGACTAAAAAGAAACAAATAAATTGTAAAAGTTTAAATGAAACTCATTTGAAACGTTTGAGCCGGGATTATGTTCACCACTTTCATGATCTTATTTACTACAAAGTTCTCCTTCAAAAAATCGACCATGTAGTTATTTGGCGGATTGTTGGTTATTATTCCGACCATCACCGTTTACATTTTACAGTAAATGAACGGACAAATAACACTTCCACGCGATCAAAGTTACGACGTGACATAACTTACTTCGCGATGTTATACACCGGTTATACCAATAATTCGTCTTACTCGGTCATGATGCCATGCAAAAATTAAATACTTCTTTTTTTTATATGAAACAAAACGTAAAATTTGAGCTAGTTTTATCGGGAGAAATTATTTTTGGCACTCGATCACTTTGGTGAAAAACACAGACCCGCCATGATAGTTATGACGCATTAGTTGACCGACATGTGTCCTTTGACCCGGTGGGTCAAAAATGCCATTTACCAATCAGAATGATGCATGGTAATGCCGGTAAAACCCAAAGTTTTCCGAATGATCGTGATCATGAAAATTACATTGCGGAAGTAAAGCGATGTCATAGCACGATGTGTTGGTATGAATTTCAGATGAAAACTGCATGATGGTTTTCGAAAGAGGTGATTAGAAATTTTTAAAAGGTAAAAAAAGTCGTGAAAGAAGAGTTTTTACATAATTCACGATGATAAAAGTTCAAATGTATTTTACCCAATCACGCAATAAACACGTTTTTTTTTTTCTTGAGTAAACTGATCGTGAACTCCGCTTTGCCCATGTTATATCGAGTGCAATTGATTTTGAAAGAATTTTAGCTTTCAATCTAAAGACTGTGTCTATCGACAGACAGTATTTACTTACAAAGAAAGAAGTGCTAATTTTACAAAATTGACTTGTATTGTTCAAATCCGCTACATCACGCGACTATGTCTATTGTTTACAAATTATTATCCACGACTGGCAGGATGCGTGTCGGTCGGTACGCAAGTATAATAACAATATGACAATAGTCGAAAGTGTTTCCGTAGGTGGTCGGTAATTTTTAATGCCGGTCAGGCCGACCAGCGTGACGAGATCCCCCAATGAAAAAAAGCACTGTGGCGGTAGACCGGTGTGGCGGCAAATCGAAGCACTGTGGCGGGACTGCCACGCTGTTTACATCCTGGGGAGAACACTGAATGCATCTAGTCGGCTAACCCATATGGCTTTCTTGTACATGTGAGGTTTTCTTTGTGCTTTTCAGAATATACATTAATGAATTATTCATATGTTGATATTTTCCAAAACATCCGGCATTTTTTTTTTAAACGAGGGAACAGGGTGCATCGCCCTCATGCCATGGCCATGCTCTCCCTTACCCTGGGAAGCAGATCCACTGGCAACCATAAAATTATGATTGACCAGGGATCATATGTGGCCAGTGTCTTCAACTGTGACCTGTCTGATAGTAATTTTGGCCCCAGGGAAGCCGTAGAATTAGAATTATCAAAAGCATCACACCCTATTAGAAAGAACCCTATCTCCTCCACTTGGTGGTGCCGCTGAATTGCAGTGCTCCCTCTCGCATGATTATTTTTTGACTGCCTGTGAATTTCAAAAATGTTGAAGAAATTTTGTTTGAAAATGATGGGAACACTTGATATTTGCTCCACCCACTGGTCTTTCCTGACATCTTTGCCTGCTGTTTAGTGGTTGGATGATGTGCCAAGACAAATCATGATCACAAAGAACTTATTGCTATAATGAGCAGGGACGCATCAGTGTGATAATTATGGACCTTACATGTAACAACAAGTCATTTGATTTTTACGATGAGAAAATCATTTTCTTGGTAGTGTCATCTTGAATAGTGTGCAAGTCTTAAAATATTTATTTCTCATCACAGACTGTCAGTGCTTAGTGCGATTACCTCTGTGCAACAACGTCTCAAATTGTATTCAAAAGTTCCACCTAATGGTCTTGTTATCTACTGTGGAACTATTGTCACAGACGATGGCAAGGAAAAGAAAGTGAACATCGACTTTGAACCATTCAGACCCATCAATACATCACTGTATTTGTGTGATAACAAATTCCATACAGAGGTAAGTGAATCAACCTGATTTGATCTCTGACCAATGTTACTCTCACTTTTGAACTAACATGAACTGGCTACTTTTTTGTACAATCATCCTAAAAAATAATTTAATTAAATGTTTTTATTCCACATTAAAAACAAACTACTTTCAAACATTTTATTTCCAGCTGGACCTATTATCAGATATTGTTAATTTGATCCCAACTGTCACAAATCTGTCATTAAGCCCCCTGTGAGATGCAAATTAACATAGTGTCAGCACTTAATGATATTACTTCATTATAGGCCTTGACTGCACTGTTAGCAGATGACAACAAGTTTGGATTCATTGTAATGGATGGTAATGGTGCCTTGTTTGGTACATTGTCAGGAAACACCCGGGATGTTCTTCATAAATTCACAGTGGATCTCCCAAAGAAACATGGTACGATTTCCTCTGCATGACTTTCCCTTAAATGAGGGCTTGAAATTCATGGGTTAAGCACCATGCAAGCTTTTATCTAACTTTCATCTATGAGAACTACAAATTCTGTCATACACTCTCATAACACCATACATCATATTCCAAAAACAAATACAGTGTCATTTTAGTCGTTTTCATAGATTAATTGTGTTTTATGTTGAATACTGGTATTCCGAAAATCCATTTATGGCCGCATCAATTACAAGTTCGGATTTAAAATTGGAAAAGTTCATTATTCACATGCAAAAAATTTGAATATAATCCTTTTGTCTGTATGAATTGCTATTAACAAGGGCAAATATTATTACAAGGTTTGTAACTTCAAATTTCAGCCTGTTATATTTTTGAATTTATTTGTTTGGCAGGTCGTGGTGGTCAGTCAGCCCTGCGTTTTGCCCGTCTTCGTATGGAGAAGAGACATAACTATGTGAGGAAAGTTGCAGAAACTGCTGTGACATTATATATCACCAATGACAAGGCTAATATCGCTGGTTTAATCTTGGCTGGATCGGCTGATTTCAAAACTGAACTCAGTCAGTCTGACATGTTTGATCCTGTGAGTATATCTCCTGCCATCCATATCTACTGTGCTGAAAACTGCTTGTGAGAGACTGGTTTCCTTGTATTGGCAACATCACAAATTTAGTAGTGGTTGGGGATCTTTCATCCAGTATCTAGAATTTTTGTTCTGTTTGCATCATTGCTGTATTCAACATATCACATTGACTCGGGAGGGGGGGGGGGCCTTCCCAGGTCATTATAGAGTAGGGGTTCCCAACTGTTTAATTTGGGATAAATCTTCATCTTTCATCTTCGTCAAAATAAAAATAAAGTCAAAATTCACAGCATTTCTTACCTTTTTAAAACAGTACTTCCTGGATAGCTGCTGTGTCTGTCTATGGGGGTTTCTATAACCTACTGGCCTCTTTCAGTTCTTCTGAAACAGGAATTGTTTGAGGGCGTTATGAAAGGGGTCTATATAACTAACTTTATCACAATGAATACAATATTTGTACAGTGTTATGCAAATTAACCGATACTGTATACCCATGTTCATGTTCCATGCTGGAACTGAAATGTAACAATGTCTCAGTAATGAAAGACATTTCTTTTGTTGATTTTGTTTGAGCCGTGTTTGAAAGCAGACATCTTATGTTGCTTATGCAAACATTTTGTCTTTTCTGCTCTGAATCCTACAGCGTCTTCAAGCAAAGGTGTTGAAACTTGTAGATGTTTCGTATGGAGGTGAGAATGGCTTCAATCAGGCTATTGAGCTGTCATCGGAAGTACTTGCGAATGTAAAGTTCATTCAGGAGAAAAAACTCATAGGTAAGCCTCATTTAATTTGTAATTGGTTGGTTAATATTATGGGATGGAATGTGTTTGTGTAGGAAATTGATTGGTTGAAATGTTTATATGCATTTCATTTTAATTTGGTGCTAAATAAAAGTGATCTGAAGATCTGATTTTGTATTTCAACTACCGTATTTGATTTATTGGTGGTGTATACGCTTACATGAATTACAGTACAAGTCATTTATAATTGACTATACATCAAACAATCTTTAGTTTTGTAGAACAATTATTTTCTAAAGTATCTTTTCAAGTCCAGATATACTCTACTTTGTTTTGTTTGTAGGAAAATACTTTGATGAGATATCGCAGGATACTGGAAAGTTCTGTTTTGGCGTTGATGATACGCTGAAAGGATTAGAGATGGGATCAGTAGAGATACTCATAGTGTGGGAGAACCTGGATATAATGAGATACAGTCTTAAGAATCACCAGACAGATGGTATGTCTATACAGATCGTCATGGAGAATTCTTACTTTAGTGCATCACCTCTTCTATAGCCTTTCAACTCTCTGTAGAGCATAGGCCACCGACAAACTCCTTCTACTCATTTCTGCTCTGAGCTAGTCAAGTGATGGTGCCAGTTGTGTTCCATTTTCTTCATTTCCTGTTCCCATGTTCTACGCCAGGCAGGGTTCTCCCCAGGGCTTTTTAGCGCCGAGGTCCGCGGCGCTATACCTGTGAATCTCGGCGCTTCACTTGGGACC